AATTACAGTTTTCCTTGTATATCTTAAACAAACACACATACTAAAAATTGCACTTGTAAAACCATGTCATCACAATCTTCAGACTATTGTTCTTGATTTTCTTCAGTATATAAATACCACTTGCTAGCATATGACTTTGCTTATGTCCCTTCCCATAATACATTCCTATCTCCATAATAAATCTTGCTTGATGTGTTTGAGTGGAGAACAGGCTATTACAGAACACAGGAGGTAGAAAACAGCCTTTACCAATGTTTAATGGGCAGTGGAGGGAAAATCTTTCATAATTTTAAAAAGTTTTTAATCTGTGAAATACTGAAGGGGTATATCATTGCTTTGACATGCAGGAGGCCATATATCATTGTTATAAATGGCCTGGTAGGTATTCCAAGAAAGCTAGGGTAAACCCTGGAAATGCCAGACTTCCTCAATATTATTAGAAAATGCAAACAGCTATAAACTGTCTTTTTAAAAAAGATATTATAAGTTTCTGGTTACCAAAGCAACACATTCAATGTGCTTCAAAATTAAGTGGAACACAAATATTCTAACAGCTACAAAATGCTTGTAAGATACCATTTTCAGTATTTGTACATTTACAGTAAAAATGGATGAGATGGAAATAGCTTGTTAAAGTTCTATAAGCAGAGAACTGGAATAAGCTCATGGTGATGTTTTTCTGTAATTCAGGAAGAATGAATTGTGTCAGATTGTATACAATTTTCTGGGATGCGCAACTGTGCCTGTTGGTAGTGTATCTGGCCCATATGTGTTTTATCTCAGACACTGCACTACCTCACTGCATGTGCCAGGAGTATGTACAGTGGGTCCTGGGTTTTGGTTCCAGGACCCCCCCTTAATACCAAAATCTGTGGATGTCTCAAGTCTTATTAAATACAATGACATAGTAAAATAATGCTCCTTGTGGCAAAATCAAGGTTTGCTTTTTGAAATTTATATATTTTTGAATATTTTCAAGCTATGTATGCTTGAATCTGTGCATAATGAATTCATGGATATGGAGGGCTGACTGTGGACACTCTCGGTTTTTCTTCATTCATTGTGTCCTATGGAATACAGATACTGGCTTAGATCTTAAGATAATTTGGAAGGAGGTTAACTGATGGAAAGCTTCTCATCTCTTCCCACCTACTGCAGTTCTAAAGAATCAAATTATAGCATTATGGAGTTGGAAGGGGCTACAAAGGGCAACAACCCCAAACATTCTTCCTAATATTTAGGTGGAACATTTTTTTTCTTACAAATTGAATCCATTTGTTCATGCTAGTCCCTAGAGCAGCAGAAAACAGACTTGTACCATCTTTTACATTATATCCCTTCAGATATTTAAAGAGAGCTATGCCCCCTCTCAGTCTTCTCTTCTCCAAGTTAAACATACCCAGCTCTCTCAGTCATTCTTCATAAGCCTTGGTTTCCAGACCTTTGATAATATTCTTTGCCCTTCTCTGGACACACTCCAGTTTGTTGATATTCTTCTTGAATGGTGGTGCCCATATTTTGGGGGGAGGGGTGGTCCCGAACACATGGGAATAGGAGCGAAAAGCTGCTGGATGAGAAGGTTATCACTGTGAATTGCTCCTAAAACTAAAAAGCAGTATACCACTGATTTCCTGATGCTAGACTGGCAATATAGCTATTCAGCAAATGAGACAGAGACAATAAGTGATCAAGGTTATCCAATAGAGGCCATTTTTTTCATAGTCAAATGTTCAGAGCAACAAAAGCACCTTCACAAAATGAGAATTACAGATTCATACCTGAGATCATAGCAAAGCAGGAACTCATAAATGGCTGAGGTCATGAACTTTTTTTATAATAAACATCTGGGAATATTATCCAGGTCCCATTGCTTCTCCATTAAGCTAATCCTTTTCCTGCACCATCTGTTTTTTAAATGATGCTCACAGGTGGTTACTTTACCGACAATCACCTATTACATTTTCTAAGATGGGCTGCCCCTTAATAAACATTATCCTAATGACATAGGGTTTTTTAGAGGGTTGCTCACAGTATGTATTCACAAAGGAGAGGGCATAATTATTTTATTAGCTTTCCAGGAAACTGGCATAATGTGAGGAGAAAAAAGAATTAAGTACAGGTAAGATGCAGCATCAATCTGTCTCTCCTATGAGGCAAGCAAACTCATCTGTCTGCATGTTTTCCTTCAGAAATAGTAGCATTTTGGAGGTTTACAAATGTATCTTGATGAAGAGGCGAAGACAAAACAACAGTATGCAATGGAAGGATTTGGGTTTTTCCTAAGAGTTACTGCTAGTATGTCCTGCCACAAAATATTAGGGAGGACTTGTTTGTAAGAGCAGCAATCCAAGACAATTAAAGTTAAAGTCAAAGAGTAATTTGATGAGAGGTGAAAAGTAAGTAACAAGTGCTAAGGCACATCCACACTGCAGAATTAAAACACTTTGAAACCACTTTAAATGACATTACTCTGTCCTATAGAAACTTGGGACAAGGTTGGTGAAGTACCAGAGCTCTCTGACAGACCAGACTAAATAACTCACCAAACAAAAAATCCCAAGATTCTGTAGGATAATAATAATAACTTTATTTTTATTTTTTTATACCCCACCTTTTGCCCTTAGGCAATCAAAGCGGCTCACAACAGTTGCACATAAAGTAAACAAATCTGTAGCAAACAGTAATAAGAACAATTTACCCCCCTTAAAATTATATATAATAGTACGTCTGTTTAAAATAACTGGCGAATTCACACCAGTGATATAAAATGAATACCTTAAAACTTAAATCTATAACATAAAACATAGAAACATAAAAACATAAACATAGGGACTTAAAAGAGGGAGAAGCATCCCTTAAACGCGGTCTGTTCTATTCAAGGAAGGCCTGCCGGAAGAGATCCGTTTTGATGGCTTTTTTTGAAATCCTCCAAGCTGGTTGCTTGACGGATCTCCTCCAGCAGGGCATTCCATAGTCTGGGACCAATGACAGAAAAAGATCTCTGGGAGGTTGTTGTTAATCTAGATCTCACTGGTTGCAA